GCCTGCATCAACCTGCTCCAAAACTGCCCATGTAGACAAGCCCTGAGGTCCCATTTTGCTGGTCTGAATCAACAAGGCAAACAAGGAAGTTAGTATGGGGGGTGGGGAAGAAAAGGAACAATTGATCTATTTGTCACTACAACAGAGCCAGCCACAGCAATGGCAGAGCAGTAAGCAAAGAAAGGGAGGTGGTCTGTCTTGAGTCATCTGAGGTCCACGCAAGGGAGAGGTCTTACAAACAGTGTCTGCTGCTGGTTGAGTGGAAATGCTTTTAGTTCTCCACTCTAGCCAGCTGTACTGGTCTTCTTGCTAAGTCACTAGGACCCTGAGTTCTCACTCTATGGTGGTCTTTCACCCTCCAAATAGCCTGAGTAGAAGGATAGGCTAAGGCCACTGGCCATCTTGACCTTGGTGGTGTTTGTCTTGCTTCCATACCCTGCTATTACTCTTGCTATTTTATATTACAGGATTAGGGAACATGTGGCCTTCCCAGTATTGTGGAACTATACCTCCAGTTAGCCCTAGCCAGATGAACAATAGAATTTGCAGGGGAAGGGGTACTTATTACCTGTCTCTGCTCTAATGAATGCTTTTGCTTATATGTACTATGTGCTTAATTCTGGAGATCCTCTACACTACTCTAAAAGCTCTCCAAACCTTGAGAGATGTCTATATATAAAAAAGAAATAAAATAAAGATAAATTCTTATATTCTAACCACAACCTACCTGTTTTTTTTGGAGCAATTTAGAGGAGGGATGGGCGAAACACAGCTTCCAGATGTTAGACTGCATCTCCCATCAGGCCTCACCATTGGCTATGCTGGATAGGATGGATGATGGGAAATGCAGTCTAGGAACATCTGGCCATATAGTAGAGGCAACTAGAATGCATTTGACAGCTGTCAGTGTGCTATAATGTCAGGTGTAACGAAACAACAGCAAAACACAATCCTGCCATACCTAGCTAACAGATTTACTTCAATGTGGGCTTTGTTGGCCTATAATCTACCTCTTCAAACACAAGAAGTACAGTATTTTTTTGCCACAGAAGTAAACGTTTTGAAAATAATTCAATGTGTAGTTCTTGTATTTTGCTTATTTCCCTCCAAACAGTATCATGTTCATTGATGACACTATAATGTTCATTACCACCGTCACCTTCAATAATAATGGCAGCTCACCGTAACCAAATATCACCCCAGAGTCATGGGAAAGAGAAATCCTGATGGATCAAAGGTCATAAATTGCTACAGGTGCCCAGGTTTATCATTTATATCCAAGTTCACACACACACACACACACACACACACACACACACACACACACACACACACACACACACACACACACACTGATATAGTAAGTGTCCACTGTTGAAAAATGCCTTGGCCAGATAGTGCAGCTTTAGAGATTAAGGAGACAAGATACTACTCTTAAAGGCTGCCAGTAAAGTGTTTAACAGTTTGGCTGGTAATTTATTGGAAAGAAAGTTGGGAAGGGTTGCTTATGGTGCAGAGAAAAGAACATACCAGAGAGCAAACGCAAGAGGAAAAGTGAATTTGCTGTCTTTCTGCATCCTCTGATTGAGTTGTTTTCCCCCCGACAATAATTGGTGGTTTCTCCTTGTAACTTTCTTTTGATGCAGTCATGAGCATTTATGGCTGTTCAGTGTTGCAACACCTAGCACATAAAAAGAAAAGAATAGCAATCATCATCCTACTTTGGATTTTGATATTGCCTTTCATCCTATGGGTAGATACAATGCAGTCGTTCCCCTATGAAACAAATAAAAGTTTTAAAACTATATATTGTTAATTTAAAAAAATCTATATAAAATCATCTATATGGTAGCCTTCCACTGTTATAAACATTTTACCACCTACATCTTATTTTTTTCCCTGTATTTTTCTAAAAAATTTGTTCCAAGATTTCACTATTTGTAATTCTTTGTTATTTGTAAATGTAACTTTGGTAGATTTTATCCATCCATGTCCAGGAAAGGGATGCCATGGCCATGTATAGATCTATGAATGCACTTTGTCTGATTCCTATGCCACCTCATTGCACCCCAGAAAGCAGGATTCTTTCAGAAAGCGGAAATCTTTCACAATGAGAAATGAGGTTAGAAGATTCGCTGAAGACATCTTCATATTTCTAGATTGTGATCCACAGAATACAGTTGAACCCAGCTCAGAGGTGGGGAAAAGTACTTTTGGGGATACAATCCAAAGGATACATGTAAGATTACAGGAGCTATAGCCTCCCTGAAATTAACTTCTTCCATCTCTGCCCAGTTCTAATAATAATTGTGTACTGTCAAGTAAATTCTGATTTATGGCTATCCTTCCCAGGATTTTCTAAGTAGGCAGTACTCAAATGGGGTTTACAATTCCCTTCTTATGGGGGCACCCTGGAACTGCACAGCTTGCCCAAGGTCACACGGGTTGGCTCTTCCAGGATGCACAGAGGGGAATTGAACTCCCAACCTCTGGCTTATAACCAACTCACTGAGCTATCTAGCCAGCTCTGCCCAGCACTAGCAATGCAATGTAAATATTGGCCATCTCTGCTCCACATTTTAGATACAAGAGCTGCTTATGAAATATTTTATCTAGGTCATAGCTACAAAACTCACACTACTAATTAATCCAGAATAGCATATTCTGAAAGAACTACAATTGCTAGTGGTTCCAAGCAGTGAGTCATTAAATGTGTTAAAAACAGACCTTGCGACACCTCGTCTTCTGTCACCCTGTCCAAATGAAAAAGTACTGGATCACGCTGAAGAGTAAGATTACCTAGTTTCTCCATATAGCAAGAATAATAAACCTTGCACCCTCCAGACAGGTCATATGTCAACTCCCAGAAGCTTCAGCCAGCATGACTAATAGGTAAGAGAAGATGGTAGTCCAAAGTATATGGAGGGCCAAGGTTCTTTTCATCTTTTAGGAGTGAGATTCTATGGGATTTTCACAGCATCTTCTCTGTGCTGGCTAGCCACCACCAGGGTTGCTTATGGTATACCGGGCTAGAAAGCTTGTGATCTACAAACAGCACATCTCACCTACCACTACTCAGAATTTACAATCCACGCCCCCCCCAAATGCACAAACCAAAGAAAAGAGGAAGAACATTTTGGGTTTCTGGCAGCCATCTCTATATGGCAACTAGGCCACATTTGGTTTCACAGGTCAAATGCCAGGCCAGCTAGAACACAAGGCTAGGTGCCATGGCCTTTCTCACTCGGCAGATTTAACTTGGGTGAATTGGACTCCACCACTGAAGGAGCCAGTGTGCTGGGGGAAGATAAAAATGGCAGATCAAGGCTTAGGGGATCTGGGTTAAAACCCTTCTTGGTTGTGGAAACCTCAATGGGGGTGGTGGTGGCAGTGGTGAACCACTCCTTGACGGTCTCACATACCCTGAAAAGCACATGACAGTCATCACAAGTAGGAAGTGATGTGACAGCACATAGCAACCACAACTCTTTAAAAGACATCCTGCCAGTGTGCTGTAGTACAAGCAGTCGATGAAGATGACCTGGATGAAATGCTATGCCGTCCTAGTGATTAAGAGCTTTCACTTTATCACCATATTTCAGCCTACCATCCAGGGTGATTGTGATGACACTAAAGAGGGAATGCCACCCTGAAATCCTTCAAGGAAAAAGAAGATAAGAGCAATTAATTAACTACCCATCGGGGTGTAATTTCACACACTTTTGCCACACTGTTCAACCCCCCAATAACACCTGGAGACCCACAGATTCCCTCAAACTAATAGGGGCATTATTTTGCACTCATCCTGTGTGAACCAGTGTGGTGCAATGGACAGAGTGTGTGATTAGGACTCATGAGATCCGAGTTCAAATTCCTGCTTGGACATGGAAACTGACTGATAGAGGGCAGTGTTAAATCATGCCATATGTACTTCACATACGTACCTTGGAAACCCTCTTAGGGTCGCTAAATATCTATAAGTTTCTAATTGATCCTTTTTTCCCCCCAACGACACCATTTTCCCCCCAGCTGCGCAATCGCTCTTTGGAACTAGACTTTCTGTGTCCAACTGCATGCAAGAAAAACCAGGAGCTAGAAGCAACCTGACAGCAAATAACAGTGACAATGTCATGCAACTATGCTTTCCTGATGGAGGGGGAAGCTTCGCGGGTCATTTGTTGTTTGCCAGTCGTTACTGCGGAAGCGACTTCCCAGCTTCAATCTTCCCAACCCGCCTCCGAAGTCTGCCGAGGGAAGCGGGGGCGTGATTTGGGGGCGGGGCTCGGTGGGGCGGAGGTGCCGCTTCTTGGCAGACTCTTCCTAGCCTGGCCTGAGAGACTCGATGTAAAGGCGTCGCTCTTGCAATCTCCGCCGCGCTTCACGAAGCCAAGTCAGGATCGTCCTCCCGGAGTTGAAACCCGACTTTTCCTTCAAGGGATCGTTTCAACACAGGGATGATTATAGTGGAGCTGCAGTCCCTGACGAATCAATAGGTGATTCATCTTCTTCCAGCGAGTGCCTGGGCAAGGCTTCAGCCCCAGAGCGGTAAATTCGGGGGGAAAAAATAATTATCCCCTGCCTTTATGGAGGGTGCTTTCCCCCCTTCTTTCTCCTCCTGCTTCCAACCACCGCGTCAGGAAACAATGGAGCAAGCCAGGAAAACATGCCGCGTTTTCTAGACCAGGTTTCGAAATCGTTACCCGTTGTGTAGTTACACCGTAACCCAGACAGCAAATGCCACTCAGGCTGAGACTCTGAAGTAGCCGAAACATCCTTTAGCGTCTAAGTCCTGGCCAGCATTAACCTACCAGCAGAGACGCTAAGGACTGGAGTCCAGCCGCCACTATTTTATTTTATTCTATTCTATTTTATTTTATACTCAGCCTTTCCACTACAACTGGCGCTCAAGGCAGCGTCCAAAGACTGGGCATCGTTGCCTTGGTACCTTGTCCCTTGATGTACGTCTTGCAACAGCCTTGTTGCAAGCAAGAAATCAGAAAGCAGAGGGAGATATGTTGGTCTTTCCAAAATCCATGGTGAAAAGGGGGAAACGCGCTGACGGACGCCTGCGGACCTGCTCTCAGGCCTGTGGGGTTGCCACCAACCCCGTGGCGCAAAGAAAACACTCCTTACCAGGAGCTCCTGGTAAAGGGAGTCCAACCAGGAACACACGCTCCTCAATTCTTGTCAAACGAGGTTCCCAAGCGACGGTCTTCTGAAGGGGAAGCATCACAGAGCGCCCCCCCCCCCAGCGTTGACTATGACGCCTTCCTGATTCCCAAGCTCTGCTTCTAGGCTCCAGATATCATGGTCAAGGAGCACTTTCTTCCTTCTTCTTCCTCTCCAGAAGTTACTGATTACACAACCGGTGCAGAAACTGTACTTCCTTGACATGCTCTTTCTCTCCCTCTGCCAGCCAGCCCCTGGTACCAAACGTTCTACCCAGTGCTGCGTCGTGGATAGGACGACCGACTCAGAAGACCTGGGTTCAAATCCCTGCTCCTCCGTGAAACTCACTGGGGATGCAGAGCTCCTAAAACCGCCCTTTAAATGTCTCATTTAACCTGAAAGCCCTGTTAGGGTCTCTATAGGTCGAATGTGACCTGATCACATGTAACATGTAAGTTTTAATATGTTTGTTTAATTCTTTTAAAATAACATAATAATTTATTATTTTAGCTTTTAACTTTGTTTCTGGTAATACTGTAAGTAACCTTGGATCTTTTAGGAGAAAGGCAGAGCATGAATATTATATAATATTTATGTGCCATGTGATGTAGGGTACAATATAGTGTAGACTCTCTTGACGGTTTCCATTGGTGTAGTCAGAATTCAGGCTGCGCTTTACTATGTAAAACTTGGCATCCATTTTCCTGCTAGTAACACTATCAGGCCATTTCCTAGCATTTTGAATTGTGGATATGGAAGCACAGCATCCCACATTCATAAACTGGAAGTTTTTCAAGAATTAAATTAATTCTAATGGGCCTTCCCTTCAGCCCTCAGTTGTGACTGTGCAGTTTGTAAATTTGCACGGCACTACCACTGCCCCCAGGTGTCTGCAGAGAGAGAAAAGGGGGAGGGGAGAGATCCCGACTGGAGGTCTAGACGAAGCCAGTGAAATAATGCAGTCCAATTTACCAAGTCATCCTTAATAATGCAAACTGTCACAAATATATCTGAAAGGAGAGGGGTGGGGGGATTGGTCTATCTTTTACTGACATTTTATATGCAGTTTTGCGAGATGTGAAGTTTATGAGGAACGTTTTTACGTGACATGTTCGCATCTCCATTTTCCGGATTTGTGTGTAACGGATGTCACATCTCAACTGTGAAAATGATTTCTCCCTTTATGAGCCAAACTGAGAAACAGAGTTATAATCACTTTGGAAATTACATCAGAAGTGTTCCTCTTTATTACTTTTTAATATAAAGTTCTTCACAACAGAGAGGATGGATTGCAGTTTTATACCTGAGCATCTTCGTTACTGTTGTTTACCCAAGTCAGTTCAACTCCAACACTAGGGCCGGGGGGGGGATATATCTGCACCCCCCTCCCCAAAATACACAAAAAGTCTTTGAATTTCATATATATAACCTCTCAATAACTACTGCAGGTTGCATTTGCTCTTCATTTATGTACAGGTGGATCAAGAATTTATTCACAATTAAGGTAGACCTGCTAGAATCAACAGGCCAAGTTGGAAAAGATTAATATAAGTCTAATTTGTTTCAATGGATGTACTCAAAGTTCATCTAGATTCAACTTACAGTGTTTTCATTGTTCTAAGTGGCTCATGTTTGTAAATAAAGCAAACACAAAAATAGTCCTGGTTGTTGTGGGTTTTTCGGGCTCTTTGGCTGTGTTCTGAAGGTTGTTCTTCCTAATGTTTCACCCGTCTCTGTGGCCGGCATCTTCAGAGGAGAGCATAGTCCTGCTGGGCCATGAAAAAAAAAAACCTCACATGAAATTAGTATCTTTATGAGGACCAAATGATTGATTGATTGATTGATTGATTGATTGGTTGGTTGGTTGGTTGGTTGGTTGGTTGGTTGGTTGGTTGGTTGGTTGGTTGGTTGGTTGGTTGGTTGGTTGATTGATTGAATGATTGATTGACTGATTGACTGACTGACTGACTGATTGATTGATTGATTGATTGATTGATTGATTGATTAGAGTAAAAGTAACAGAGTCTTCTTTCTAACAAGTTTATTTAGCAAAAGTTTCTGTAGACTCCTCCCAAAGTTCTTCCAAATAATAGGAAAGAGTGGGCTATGGGACTCAAATACTGATGCTGAATAAAAAATGTTGGTCTTTAAACTGCTACAAAAACTCTTTGTTCTTTTATTTTTTTAATTATTTCAATTTTTACCCCACTCGTCTAGTGGCCAGGCCACTACTCTGGCCAGCTTACAATAAGGACATCAAAAACATAAACAAAAATTCTGGTAATAAACAATAAACAATAAATAAACATTAAACAAGTCTGATGGCAAACCTTGACAGCATCTTAAAGAGCAGAGACATCACCTTGCCAACAAAAGTCCGAATAGTCAAAGCTATGGTTTTTCCTGTCGTGACGTATGGAAGTGAGAGCTGGACCATAAAGAAAGCTGACCGCCAAAGAATTGGTGCCTTTGAATTGTGGTGCTGGAGGAGACTCTTGAGAGTTCCCTGGACTGCAAAGAGAACAAACCTATCCATTCCAAAGGAAATCAACCCTGAGTGCTCACTGGAAGGACAGATCCTGAAGCTGAGGCTCCAATACTTTGGCGATCTCATGAGAAGAGAGGACTCCCTGGAAAAGACCCTGATGTTGGGAAAGGGTGAAGGCAAGAGGAGAAGGGGATGACAGAGGATGAGATGGCTGGACAGTGTCTGCGAAGCAACCAACATGAATTTGACCCAACTCCGGGAGGCAGTGGAGGACAGGAGGGCCTAGCGTGCTCTGGTCCATGGGGTCACGAAGAGTCAGACACAACTAAATGACTAAACGATGACGACGAAATAAGAGAGCAAACAAACTCCAACTTAAATAAAATATGTACTAAGATACACTATGATGACCAACTGAGCAATCAACCATAAAAGTGTGGGTCATTAAAATTAGAGAGATAAATAATAATAGTTAAATTAGACAAAGGCAGGAGTATGGAAAAGCCTGAGCAAAGAGTCAGGTCCTCACTTTTTCCCCTGAAGCCAAGGAGAGTTGGGGCCTAATGTACTTCAGCAGGAAAAGAGTTCCATAGCATGGCAGCCACCACTGAGAAGGCCCAATTCCTTGTAGTGAATTCCTGGACCTCCCTTGAAGTGGCCTACCATAGCAGCGTTGCTTGAGAGGTACGGGAGGTCAATCTGAGGGAGAGGTGCTCAGTCAACAGTAGCTTTTAGCTGCAACAGTTAACAACGCTAGTGTTCTGGAAGCTCCTAATAAAAGTATCACTCCACTGTGGATTTTGTTCATTTGCTTCTTCACCTATGCAATTTTAGCAAGTGTTAGAATGTAAGACAGGCCTATGGGGCTATTGCTAAAATTAAGGCAACAACAACAGTATAATGGCATGCCCAAGGCTTCCAAGAGAACCAGTCTGTGGCTGAGATCAGATGTAAACTCAGAACACCCTGGTTCACATTTTTGCTACTACACGGCAGCTGCTCTCAAGAGCAGTTAGAAAAGAAGATACAAGAAAGCTAATGGTTGCCTCATCTTGAGAATACCGCTGGGCTGGATCCACTGACTATCTGCTTTTCACCTGCTAGGATTTGTTCCAGATGGTGTTTTAGGAGTAACAGCATTCCTCAAAAGTTCTGTTGTTATCCCTGTCGCCCACCACTCCTAAGCTTGTAGCTTTAAAAGAGGAGTGGCAAGAATCCTATTGATGTTTGTATAAGGTTTGAACAGCTTTCCAAGTGAACTGTGGCAAATTGATGAGATGCCAGTGAATCGTGGTTGAGCAATGAAGTGCATTACTAGATATGCAACCAAGGCATGTCTTAGCACCTTCTCATTTAGTTGCAATTGGCATGAGCAAAGGGCCTTGGGCAAACATCAATGGATTTCTGATCAATGTCTGAAATGACCATTGGTTAGTATAATAAAACTGTTTTGAAAAGAAGTCAACATGAATTCAAGCAATCGGATTACTCTCACCATTTATTTTTACTTTTTGGCCATGGGTTCATGTTGGGCAATGATGGAAGTTTCAAGCTGCACATTTACAGCAATCACATATTAAGGAAGTGTCAATGAATTCACCATTAACTTAATGGTACAGAGTCCTATACAATCATGGGTAGAAATGAACCCAATGAATACAGTTGATTTTAGTTCACATTCTGAATGAATGTGCGTAGTATAGAACTACACAGTTCTTAGTCTGTACTAACCCAAGATATTTTGCATAGACTTCACTACATACTTCTTTGGTTACAGTATTTCTGAGTATACAGAAGAACACCTTATGTTTTTCTTCATTCCTGTTAAAATGAATGTATATTTTATTGGGTGACTTTAAAAAGCCTTTCAGGATTCAATGTGTCTATGAAAAAGAAAGAATATGGGTATGGATTTTTAAATATTTGTGCAGAGTGTCTTCAACTTTGCAGTGAATAATCACAGCATGTTTCAGCATAAAAGAGTGCTGGGTTTCTGGTCAAAAGGGTAGACTTCCAAAAATATTTGATCTCTCTCCCCTCCCCTATTTGGCATTTAGAAACCAGCCATTCTGTGATTAAGTTCACATATGCATGGCCCATTATTTGACTACTGCAGTTTCAAACAGTTTGGGCCAATGGGATTCACATGGTTTGCCATATGATATATTAATCTGAGAAGTTGAGCTGCTAGTCCAGATGTCATTTGTATTATTGTCCTTTATCAAAAACATCTTACTAACTTTTGCCACAACTAATTGGAAATCCAGATGGAGGGAGATTCTCTGCAGAGTCAGGTGCGATGGTATACAGGAGCCAATTAAATGCGTAGCTCAACGAGTTGGCACTTAGGCATGTTCTACCCACAGAAGAGAAGGAATTTGTAGAATCCTGAAGGAATCCTGAAGCGACCTCTCTGAGGCTGCAGGTAATATATGGTATTTGTAAAAGGCTTTCCCCACAGTGAAACTTAGAGAAAACGAGAGCCTTCCTGCAAATGTGGGGGGGGGGAGGGGAGGAACCCTGAAAACTGAGTGAAG